AATCAAAATAAAAATTAAATAAGCTTTTTATATTAAGAACCAGAGGTAGTATTTAGGACTATAGGCCGTACTTTTTCCAATCTTAAATATTCCTTCAGTCTTTAATACATGACATAATTATTGAGTTGATCATGATCCTAAATATAATATCTTTTTTTTTGTATTTATCAATTTTTTTTATATTATTCATATTGATACTCCCTCAAAAATAATTAAGTAGGAGAAGAAGAGAAGATATTAAGAAAGATAAATATAGTATCATAAAAAATGTCATATTTTTTATGATTAATTGACTTAACTAACTTTTTTTAATCTAGTAAAATTAATTGAATAGGTTCTATACTAAAGACCCGAAGAATATAAAAATTAAACAGTTATTTTGTAGCCAGCTTTCATTTAACACCATTGGCAAGAGCCACCGCAACTTCAAAGCCTGTCTGAACAGACCAGCCAATTTCATTTGTTCATGAATTATATCGTGCTTCTTGATGATGATGCTGTTCGTTTTAAGGAAGGTTTAAATGTTTCGTCTTATAATGTTAAAAATGAGTGTTAAAGCTTGCTCCTAAGTTAATATTTGCATAATTTAACTTTTTCCTTTTAATATAAATATAAATATGAGGCCTATTGGATTCAAGTATTGTCGGATTTAAAACCTGTATACACATGAACTTAGACCGAAGATTTCATATTTAAACAATCATAATTTGTTTCACTACAATTAATATGCCTAATAACATATTATATATTTTTTATTAATCAAATTTTTAAATTAAATTGTAACTGCAGCTAAATAAATTTGTTAATGCTGGTGACAAGATCGAGATGGAGTGTGGAGAGGTTACATGTTGAAATTCACCAATAACAACAATTTTTTTTATTAAATGAAGGTGGTTATATGAATCTTATAATGTTATTATACTCTATCAACTGTTAAATTTTAAATAAATTATTAATCAAAAGATCTCATTTAAAAATTTAATTGAATCTTTAAATCAATAAAAAAATTATTATGATAATTAATAACAAAAAAATTGTGAACCCATAAAATTGTCCGGCGAAACAATAATTAAAAATAGGATCAAATCAACGACCTATAAATTATTGAGTTTTATTGATTGATCCATGGAGATGAATCCAAACGCGTCAACTTCAAATATAGTCTTCAATTGAGGGTTCATCTTATCGTTTTATACTGTTTTTATTTTTTAATATAAGAATTAATTTAATTTTTATTTTAATTTTAAATATAAAACCTCAATCTAATTTGTATTTTATATTTATCTATTTTTTTCATAATACAAGTTTTATAGTAGTTATACTTGTTAAAAGCTTTATCAAATTGTATTAATAAAAATATTTTAAAAAAATAATACATATTTATTACAAATAACTAAATTAAATAATTTTTTAATCTATTTAAATTTAATTAACTAATTTTTATACGGGGAATTAAAAGTAGTACATGGCATGTCGGAGCAGCACCATGGTCCCACACCGTCACGCGCATTGGGTTCTTCTTTTCGCAATTTGCAGTAACATTGTACTCATCAAAGATACATATCCTCCTTTTTTTTATTTTTAAAAAAGAAAAAAGGATAGGTGTTCCCATTTAAAAATAAAATAAAATGTCGATATCGAGGACATGTTTTTGTGAAAAACCACAACCAGTTGGAGACAATTCAACGGTGGAAGAAATTGGGGGTGGCAAATGTGGAGGTTTGTGTTTGGGTTCTTGTTCGTTTGGATAAGCCACGATGAGGTGGAATAACGTCACGTCCCCATCCAAACACGGCGGGCCACGAAAATAGTTGCTTCTCAATTATTTTGATGGAACAAGTCAACAACTGAATCATTGTCCTTTTTGTTTTTCCCCTTTTCCTTTTTTTTTATTTAGAAAAAATTATAAAATAGACCTTAAAAATTGAAAAATTATATATAATAACCCGTTCATAAAATTGTTATCATTTACTTGTTAATTATTATTAAAATCCATATTAATATTGTAATTGTTCTCTATTTGTAATTTTTCTATTACTAAAGTCTTTTTTTTTAATGATTTTCCCTTCTCTTTAATACTCTAGCTTTATAAATAACTAATTTTAAAAGGTAAAGCTACGCTTGATATCATATTTATTTTTTAGTGGTATAATTTTACTAACAATCACATTTTTTTTGTGCTTTTAACATCTTAATTTTATTTATATTGCATTCAATACTCTAAAATTTAGGGTATAGACTCCAAAAAAGACAGATCATTAGTAAGAAAGTGAAAGAAAAAACGCGATGCACAAGGGAAAAACAAAGGCAGAAAAGGGTTAGGTCAAGAACCAGGTGGACCCGTATTAGCAGGAGAACAGCGATGTGTCTGTCACTGGATCAAGACGGTTTGTCGGCGGCCGTTGAGGGAAGAAGCCGTAACAGTGATTTCGATAAGCTCTTCTAGTTGAAAGGTAAGAAATTCTAGCATATCGATAACAATGGTTAGAAAGCGTGTGGTGTGAGAAAACAAAAGGACAGTCTGGTTGAGCAATGCAACTGAAAATTTATGCTTTAATTGGATGTTTGCTTTTGTTTGTTTTTCATTTACTTGCTGTATAGCCGTTTGTTTGAGAGGTATTGTGCGTTTGATTCTTACCTATTAAATGCATTGATCGTCGCTCTTCTTGCATGGTTTGTGTTGAAGTATGCTCTGTTTTAATTTCTTCAGTGGGAAGATGGTGGTATGATGATGAGATGAACATTTGTTTCATTTTGTTGTATTCTGGACCATTAACCAGCTGGAATGGGCTTTCATCGTGTTGTTGTTGATCAATGTGTTCTTGTTGTATAGCCGTTTGTTTTTTGTTTTGTTTACTTTTATGCTCTGTTTTATGCAAAATGAAACGGTATTTAACTAGAAGACGAGATTGAATGAAAATTGCAAAAGACCATAAAATTATATAAGAACTTACCAAATCCCAGCTCACATTGCCCTTTGTTGCCATCGACGGACCTTTCTCGCCTTCACCAAAGTGGCTTTGTGGTGCCTTCACCTTTTCTTGCCCTTTGCTAAGGCTTTCTTTTAGGGGTGAGTATTTAGTTTTTCTGTTTGATTATTGGTGATAACCGAATAATCAAATAGAATAAATTTTAAATACCGAACCGAAACTGATTAACCAAATTAACCGAAAATTTCGGTTCGATTAACTGATTAATCGAAATATATAAATATGAAAAATGATTTTAAATTAAAAGTAATAATAAAACACAATTACAACTATTAATTAATAAATATTTCATCATTCAATATGATTTATTATAATAATATTTATTATAACCATATTTATTGAATATAAATATATTTAAAAAGTTCACATATACTTACATATATATTTATTATGATAATATTTATTAAATATAAATATATAATATATTTATTTTGGTTATTCAGTTATAACTGATTTTTTTTTCTACTAACCGAACTGAATACCGAAACCGAATTGTTTAAAAAATAAAAACCAAATATATAACCGAAAACCGAAATAACCGAACCGAAAAATCGAAATTAAATTCGGTTCGGTTCGGTTTTCAATTACGATTTGGTTTTGCTCAACCCTACTTTCTTCCCTTCGTCATAGTGCTTTCACTTGAGCTTTCTCCCTTCACCCTTCCCTGCATTAAGTGACCCTTCTGCCCTAATCCCTTTCTTTTTTTTTTTTTTTGAATGATAACTGAGCAACAAATAAAAGGAGAAAAGATGCCATTCCAAGCTAACTAAGCCTATTGTCCATCATCACTTTCCACCTCAAATCGTAGATGGGAAAGGTGATCAAAGACACACAAAAATACTACTTATCTTATGAGATATCTTTGCTAAAAGATCTGCCAAGGGAATCCTCTCCCTATCTATATGACAAAAAATAACATGTCAATCCCTATGTATAGCTATTCTCACGCCATTCACTAAGTCTTTGAAAGGATAATTATCATCACATCCTCTAGTTGCCAGGTTAACTATCTCAATACAATCTGAGAATAGACAGATACTTCTGAAACTTTTAGCCCAGCATAGATTTAGGCCACGTAGGAAACCCATGAGCTCCGCACCCTTTCTTTTTACTTTACAGGAAGAATCATGCGTGATTTTATTTTGTATGATGCGTTTTTAAGATCCACTTTTCCTCCCTTTTTTTCCTTTCTTGCACATAAGATCCACATATGAGCCAGCTAATGCGTCCATCTCATTTGACTAATGAAGTTAGTGTCAAGTCAGACAAAGTTAACGGCCTGAAGTGATCAGGAACCAATAGTCAAAAACAGATATAATTTGAGGGATCAAATTTATAGGTTTTAAATTTCAGGGGCCAATATCAAAATGGGTCCAAATTTGAGAGATCAAAATTTGTATTAACCCTTAAAGAAATTAGTTTAGTTTGTTATTTGTAATAAATATGTGTTGTTTTTTCTGAAATATCTTTGTTAATCAAGTGTGTTTGCAAAAACTACCACTTGATGAAACATTCAATATAACAACTACTATAAAGACTATTTTTTAAAAGAAATAAATAAATATAAAAAATAAAGTGAATAAAAATTTTGTATTTATGATTAAATTAAAAATAAAACTAACTGATAAAAGGTAGGATGTGGTGTATAAAAAGTTGGAAATTTGAAAAATAATGAATGGGAAGGTCACCCAACAAAATGTTAGCTATATATATAAAAGATCCAACCACCTTCACAACAGAAATCACAGCGAAATTACTCGGCTTTTTGACGTAGACGAAACTCGACTCGAGCGGGACGTGCGCGAAACTTGAAACAGAGTCAAGACTCGTCAACAGCGCCCGCACCCCCCACCTATAACCGTGTTTCAACTTCTTTCACATTCTGATCTTTTACTCTCCTCCTCCTCCCTTTTTTAATCATTCTCGTTCTAATTTTATCAGGACCCCAAATCCGCGTTTCAATTTTATTAATCATTAATCCTCTTCCACTCAGAAAACGGCACGAAACTGCGCAGCAAAAATCCAAATCTTTGCGTTCAGTAAACGCTCTGGTCTCCCCACTTTGCGTTGCCTTTCTTTTCCATGCCCACACGGATCACACACCCACTTGATATGGTTAGATATATATATACACACGCCATTTTGAGTTCTCTCGTTCATTAGTGCCTTCCAGTTTGCTATTTCCGTTTCCTTTTTTCTTAATTTGGCCTTCCTTCCTTCCTTCCTTCTCTGCCGCATAACACAATCTTAGGAATTTAGGGTCTGATTTTGAGTTTTGCCTTCATGGGTCTCACTCTTTCCCGGGTTTTGGCGTCTAGATTCCTGCTTCCCTTTTTTTCCCTTGAGAAAGTTGCTGGTGATCTCTTCCCCAAGCAGTTGGAAAGCATGATGTGCTTGGTCTCCCGCACCGGCAGGCATCTGCAGCGATACGACAAAGGCTGTCGCCAAGTAGTCGGGTGCGTTCGTCTCTCTTTGCTACTTCCTCTTCTTGGTTTCTGGATTTCTGTCCTTCAAATCCCTAATTTGATTTTTTTTTTCAAATGTTTTCTTAATTTGGGTTATTTCTCATGTTGCTAATAATTTGCGTTTCCGAGCGTGGATTTTGCCGTTAATCTGACTTGTTCAATGCCATTTTGAACTTGTGCAGATGCATTCCATACAGATACAGAGAAACTAATGTTGAGGGAACCCGTAAAGAGGAAATTGAGGTTCTTGTGATTAGTGCTCAGAACGGCCATGGAATGCAGTTCCCGAAGGTATTATTGTTTCTCCTCAAGTTGTAAAGCGCATCTTTTCCATGATACTTTGTTTCATGCTTTGAGTCCTTACATGTATGTGTATTGTTTTGCTTCATCAGGGAGGTTGGGAGATTGACGAATCCATGGAACAAGCTGCCAGGAGAGAGACTTTAGAGGAAGCAGGGGTTGTTGGCAATGTCGAAGTTAGTATCTCTATGAACACTTTTTTGGCTCCAGATTCCCAGCAATTAAGCCAATCTTGGTTTCTTACCTTTTATGTCTTGGATATTTTTGCAGAGTAAATTGGGTAAATGGAATTATAAAAGCAAACGCCAATCTACTGTACATGAAGGATATATGTTCCCTTTGCTTGTCAAGAATCAGCTTGAGGATTGGCCAGAGAAGAACATCCGAAAGCGAAGATGGGTAAGCATTCGTATGATTCAACTCCATTCATTATGCCAATTGCAAAGGAGATTTCACACAAATCTTTAAAGATTACAAATTATTTATTGATTGTCTTCATGATGTGGTTTTTCTAAAGTTTCATTGACTTGCATGGTGCAGTTGACTGTGGCTGAAGCAAAAGAAGTTTGTCCACATGCTTGGATGAAGGAAGCTTTAGATATATTGGTCACTAGGCAATCTCAAGTCAAGCGGAAATAGAGGAAAATGTCAAGTTAGATGTACATTGTTTGTATTCTCTCATGTTTGTGCAATTTCCAAGCCATGCAAGCACTGGGATATGACTTATCGGGACAGAAAATTTCAAGTGCGGGAGAGGGAATCAAGGTGCTGAAGTTCATGTTTGCTTAATTTCCTGTTGGTGCTACTGAAAGTGCAGCAATTGGAATACAAGTTTGTAGGGTGTAGTTGAGAGATCTTGCAACGGAAGTCAGCTGTAGATATACTAACTCAATTCATTCTTTCATTCTTTCTTTGTATTCTTCCAATCTGATTCTTTGTGTACAATACTGTCTGGCATCAATCATAACTCCATTCTTCTTCGGCTACCTGGCTTCTATTATGCTTGCTTCTGTTCTTGGCAAAATTCTTCTTTTCATGCTTATGTGAACGCGACAAAATTCAGGGGAGGGGTATATGGGATTTCTTCTAAGCAATTCTAATGGAGACTGTCTGATAAACATGGCTAACTATTTCTTTGGAGGCAAAAGATCTAACAATAGTCATGATGATTCTCTTGACGAGAAAAATAAGTTGATGACAGAACTGGTTTGAGAAAAATCTGCTAACAAATTATCGTTCATAAATCATGAACACGTAGCAGCAGATGAAGGCCTCAAAAGAGGCCAAGTCATGAAGTTTCTACACCAAGCACTGTAAGTTAAATGGAAAAGAGATAAGATATTATCATTAATGGGGTTTCTTTGAGACCATAGATTATCGATCCCCACCTAACCTGAGGAAAAACCAACGAGTACGTCTGATCTACGCTTAAAGGGAAACATGTGAGGTAAGAATGCTTTGGGAAGGCATAGTGGAATGATAAGAATCCCCAGTAAGCAGTACATAGATGATAAGGTTGCATTATTGCTTCATTCTGATTGGATTACTCAAAGCATTGAAAGAGATGTGTGGTGCCATAGATGTTGCAATCAATCATGGTAAGTGCCTTTCAACAAGCCAGTAAACCGGCCTAACGGGCAAAAATGACTTCCAAGTCGGTAAGAATATCGATTCATATCTTATGTGTTTATGAATTTTAATTTCATTGTTAGTTTAAGGACGTTGAGCTTGTTTAGTATCCCAAGTTGATTTTTCAGTCGTGAGGAGCCACCTTAGCTCAGCATGTGATGTTTCGGATGACTTGTGAGAAAATAAGCTTTTAGACCAAAAGTTAAATTGAAACCAGTATTTAACTTCTCTTCAGATTTGAATATTTTAAAATTGACTTTTTAATATTTTTCTAAATAAGTTTTTTTGTCAAACGAAATAAACCACATTACAATGATAAATATTCAGACAAACTTCAGTATATAAAACTAAAAGGGAAAATCATATTGAAGGTACCTATACTTTCTCTCAATTTTTAATTTGGTACCTATGTGTTTTTTCCCCTTTAATTAAACATTTAATTTTATATTTTTAGCAACATTAGCTCTTATAACTTTGTTCTATTGATATTTTTAGTCTTTATATAAGAATTAATGATGTTAATAGAGGAAAAATAAAGATTTAGTTAAGAACAAAAAACACATAGGTACCAAATTGAAAATTGAAAAAAAGTATAGGTACCTCCAATATGGTTTTCCCAAACTAAAAAAGTGCTTGGGAACTAAGAGAATGCTTTTTAAAAATATTTTTTTTATAAATCAAGAGAAACTTTTCTATATATTTATTTTGTATATCATAAAATTATTTTTAAAATTATGGTTGCTAAAACAAAAATCACTTTTTACGAGATTAATCACAAAAGCCTTTATTTGCGGACAACAGCACATAGGCAAGGAAAGGTACAAGTGCATAGTGGGAATAGTGTCATGTGGAAAACTGGGAAGAAAAGCGATTGGTGGAAAAGCAGGACATCTAGATTTTCCTCCTTGTGCAGTCAGTCCTTCACATGCTTATGTTCACGTGTACAATTTCTCTCCCAAGGGATCCAAGTACGTCCATTTTTTGCAACTAAGGGTATGTTTGGATTGATGTTGGGTAAAACTGACTTCTAACCCAACTAACTTTTGTAACTGAAATTAGAGTAAAAGTCAGTTAGTGTAATGCAATTTATGTTTGGATAGATGCTTTTAAAAAGTCAGTTGAAAAAGTTAAAAGTTGTTTGGATGATTAATAGAAAAGTTAGTTTACTTGTAAAATGACTGAAAAGGATATAGAGTAGTCTTTGAAATTTTATATTTTTAATATGATAATAATTTAAAGAAACACGTAAAATTATTATGATAAAATATCAATAGTTTATTTGTAAAATTATAAAATAAAAATATTTGTTACAGAGAAAAATTTGAAAATATATTATAGATAATTAATTAAATATACATGATGAACAAACATGAATATAAATTAAAATTTATTTGGTCTCTAATTAAAGTAAATAGAATCACATAACTAATTAGATTGTAAGTTTTGCACAATTTTTCTATAAGTCAGTTAGAAAAGTTGATCCAGATTGCGTTGAATAAGTCAGTTAGAAAAGTTACTTTTTTTTCATAAGTCAGTTAGAAACGAAGCTCAATCCAAACAATCTTCTGAGCTGCAATAAACCACAAACCGCAGTTTCACGCTTTTCTGTGTGCTTTTATCCTCTCAAACGGAAATCCAAACATAGCCTAACTAATATAAGGCCATCAAGTCACCAATCTCTAAAAACCTCAAGTTTTAATTCAAAAGCTCAAAAAAAAAAAAACATTGCTTCGCATGTGCTCTTCTTTAATTCATATAGACAAGAAGTCAATAATAATTGATTGCGCCACATGTCAAGTTGGGATCCTTTCAATTATGAGAATGATGTTGAATAAATATGCTTTGCATAAATAAATAAAATTTAAGTCAGTATTATTCTAAATATAATTTAATTAAGAGGACCTTGATTTCGATAGTTAAAACGAGTTTCTTTTGAGCCCGAAAATAACATTTTCTAAAATTTAATTATTTTTATTTTTGGAATTTTATTTTGAATGTGTTTGGTTGTTGATCACTTCTTACTCTTCAGCTTTTTGTATCTGTTATAAATTATGACATGTTCCTACTATCATCTATTTGATAATTTGCCCATTGATTTTGATGAAAAAAATTATACGGCCATTGGCTTATTGTTGTTAAAGTAAATTATATACATCTTTATATTTTTATTTAATAAAAAATATAGCAAATTCATTATGCAATTTTGAAACTTTTCCTTAAATATCACACACTTATCCTGCCTTAAGTAAAATAATTAATACTATTTTAAGTTGTTAATATAAAATCTTTCTTAACTTTTATTTTGATCATAAATATAAGACTTAAATCTACTTTGTCTCCCATACTTATTTATTTATTTTTTAAAATAGTCTTTTTAATAATGGTAGTTCTAGCTACTACCTCCGATTCTTAATATAAGACCCTATTTGATTTTTATTTTGGTCCTAAATATAAAACCCCAATTTACTTTGTCTCTCATATTTATACATTTTTTTCAAAGTAGCTCTTCTAATAATAAGAGTCCTAGTCAATACACTTGATTAGTAAGGATATTTTAGAAAAAATAACACCTACTTAGGATAAATAACTAACTCAACTTACTTTCTTAATCTCCTCAAATTAATTAACTGGTTCTTATAATTAGGATCAGAGGTAGTAATAAACTTAATTAGTCAAGATATTTTAAGAAAGATAATATTTATTTATTACAAATAATTAACTTAATTTATTTTTTTAATCTACTCAAATTAATTAATTAGTTTTTATATTTAGGACCCGAGATAGTAGTAAAAATGTAAACAGAATTACATTTAAATAGAGCGAACTCTGGGCTGGAGCCCCGTTTCTCATTTAAAAAAGAAAAAAGAAATTAATAGAGTAAGCTCCATGCATTGAGAGTGTGTGTTTTGTTGGGATCCCAGAGCCCAACTATCAGGTTTTAATGGGCCTTCGGCCCAAACGATTCCTCAAAAATCAGTTTTTGGTCCATCTTCAAAATTTGAATTGGCCACTGAATTGACTGTACGACGACGATCTCGGAAACAAGAAGGAAATCATTTCCGTTGCCGTTGAGTTCGGCATTGCCTGAATGAACGAAGACGATGGTAGCGAAGAGCGACTACGAGATTCTCAGAAATGCACGCGTCTTAGAGAATCAGGTCTCCATTTCATCATCTCTTTTGCGCGCGACATTATTCTCCTTCTAGCATCTTTCTTGTGTAGTAATTTGGTAATTGCAGGCTCGATTAGCCTCTCTGGGTCTTCACAAAACAATCTCTGAGCTTCGAGACGCAACAACATCTGCTAAATCAAAAACTAAAAGAGCCTGGAATAAAAAGTTTTATGCAGCCGCTCCTTTACGTCGCTCTCAGAGAATCAACACAACCGACCTCAATGGAAACGGCAGCCACCTTCCACTGCGACGATCTCAGCGTTTAAGAGGGAGTAAAACCGACCCTTCGTCCCCGAAAGAAGGTTTCAATTTTTTTTATTTTTCTTTTGGCCTATCTGTGAACATTGAAAGAATAGGAACATTGAAGCTCTAATGATGCTTTTTTTTTTTTTTGTGGTGATACACTCTGATTTTTCTCTGTTGCTTGCGATAGAGAAATTATATGCATCTGAAGATGAGGAAGATCGTCTTCCGAGTGATTCAGAAGAGAAGAGGCCTGCAAATGCACCGTTGATTAAACTAAAGGGTGTACAACTTCAACTTTCTGCAGAAGCTTCGGCTGTGCGCTGCAATAGCAAGGGTAGAGGCAGTGTGTACAACCCTGTATTTGGCATATGCTGCCATTTCTGCAGGTGTTCTCTAACCTTTATCACATTACTTTGTAAGACATGACATTCTTAGCAGTTATCAAGCCCACTGCTTAGTAACATTGTAGGTTTCTGCATTTGTTTTGGTGTTATTTTTGGGGTGTTGGGGGCTGCTATTCAGTGGATTGAGCTATATTTCCCAATTCTTGTTTCTTTGTGGGTTGCTTCTTCCAAAGTAGGCATATGTGTCATGGGTTTTTCATAACCAGCCATTCTACGCACATGATGTAAGGGTCACAACTCACAGTCACAAATGATGTGGTTCAATGACAAAATATACTGTCGTGAAATGGAAATGTCGCATAGTGCATTTAGCCCCTTCTGCTATGCCATTAACCCATAACAGTTTAACTTGGAATGAGGACAATGCAATGGAAATGCACGCAGGCAAAAGAAATTATGTGGTGAAGAAGACTGCAAAAGATGTGGCTATTTTGATGTAAATGAGCCGTGCCTAGGTTAGATTTAGAATTGAGACTTCTTTTGCATTCTATATTAACTCCCCATTTCTTAAACACTTACCATGCATATTTTAAGCAGGAAAGACTGATTGTTCTGCATGCCACTCTAGTACCGGTGTTTTCTGCAGAGCATGCCTCAAGGTTCGCTATGGTGAAGGTGAGTAGCAAGTGGCTTAGCTAAACATGTAGATGAGGGGAGCAAATTAAGAATATATCGGAATAATAATACTGGTGTCCTATTTATTTATTTATTTATCTGATGGCCCCAATTTATGTGAAAATTCATCTTACCTTTTCCACTTATGTAGCTATAACAGCTATAGAGGTTTAGTTTAATGCTAAGAATAGTGCTAGATTTTCCCTACACTGTAGAAGTAAAATATCTGATATCCTAAACACTGTGTCTAAGTTAAATAAGCTTTACTCAGATTGTGGTATCATAGTTTACGAACTCTATTATGCTTTGAAAGAATTGGACTCTTCCAAAATAATGTCATATCATGGATATGAAACTGTCTTTTATCTTTTACTCTCAACGTTAGAATTGGAGGAAGTGAGAGAGAACAAACACTGGATGTGCCCTCATTGCATAGAAGCTAAAGGAATTAACCCTTACTGGATATGCAACAGGTATGCCTTCTAAATTTTAACTTCCACATGTAGTTATTTTAAGTTGGATGTTGTCCGTACTAATGCGTTCTTGTTTATGTTGAATTTTTGTTTATAGCTCACTATGCCTGAAGAAACGCAACATAGCTCCAACTGGAATTGCAATATTCAGAGGTTAGTTCTTCTGTTTTTGATTTTATGCTTACCATTACTGTTCTATTGCCTTATGTAATAGTGTCTTTGTATTGTTTTTGACATTCTTTTGGTATTTTCCCCCTTGGATTGGTTGAAATATAGCTCGCCAAATGGGATATGAATCAGTGGCGCATTTTCTTATGGATGAACTCAAAAGAAAAGATCCAAAAAGATGCAAAACTTGAAGGATACGCGTGTAATGTGAGATCAAGGTTTGATAGGGATTTTTAATTGGCAACTAATTCCTAATGATGGTGACTTTTTATATTAGTCTTCCATAAGTTGTCTTGATTTTTTTTTTTTTTGTGGTCTTAACAATTCACTCGCAAGCACTCAGAGTACACACAACCGGCAAAAAACCATTTTTAAACGCCAAATTACTTAAAAATAAGTTAATTCAGACACCCTTTGACTGCGTTCTCTTAATTTAAGTCGAGCCAAAAGCTTGGAAGAAAAGGAGAAGCCGAAGACGGACTAACGGGCCAGACTAGTGTACTTGGACTAAATGGCAGTCAGGCCTAGCCCTTGACGGTGAAAGTTGAAACTGATTTCTTGATTATACTATTTGTATTGAATCATCATAATTACATAATTTCATTTGAAAGAAAGTCTGATACAGCTTTTATCAACAAAAAAGAAAGAAAGAAAGAAAGAAAGTCTCATGTAGAAATTAATAGAATAGAGTGATCAGTAAAGTTTATAAGAGATCATATTGATAAAAAATTATAAATGATTTCTTTTAAAAGTTCCATAGAATTCGTTCTAGCCTCTTAATCTAGAAAATAATCCTTACAGCTTACATTTATTTCTTATACATATGCTCTTATTTTATTATAAAAATCTCACCCTCAAGCCTATTTGACTTTCTAGGTCACCTATCCCAGCACAAACACAAGACACACACACACACACACACATTAATTTTAACAAAAAGAAAATATATAATATGGGCTGACAGTTCACTCCTAATGGCCAGATGATAATTTTAACAAATCAGAACGAAGGTGCAAGAATCCTAATTTCTTTTAAAGAAAAAACAACAAGGTTAGTACGTTATCATGCTAGTAATTCTAGGGAGTTTGTTACAACAGGCTATGGTAATTGAATCTGTATTTGATTTAAGAGGTGTTTTAAAAAAGTACTTTTACGATAAAATTTTTTTTTTTTTTGTATACTTACATTTTATATCATAAAATTACTTACAACCAACTCATCCAAACACCTCTTAGAAGGATGGAAAAAGGTTCTTTGCCTGTGAAAGTGTGACATGTGTGGCAGACATTGAGACAAAATTCCATTGGAATTCACCATTTGAACAAATGGGAGGTCACTGATTGGTTGGATACATATATAACAAAATGATACTTACAGCAAATGAATAAAGATCGAAGATTCACCAATAATTTTTAGAGTAAAAGCTTCAACGAATAATGAATGGTATTTATATATCGAAGAGGTTTTTGTTTCTTTTAGGGGGTGTTTGGAACACTTCAAAAGTGCTTTTAAAAAATATTTTTCTGCAAATCGATATAAACTTATTCATATATTTATTTCATATATCGTAAAATTACTTTTAAAATTATGATTTAGTTTTCACTTAAATGCCTTTTTAATTAAATAAGGGCATTTCGGTCATTGAGCCATTAAACTTAATTTTAAACGATGCTTTTATGGCCCAAGTGATGTTTCAAAAATTTATAGGCCCTAAACGACACTTTCTTACTTCCAAGAGTCCTGGATGCAATCCTCGGCTCGTGGCCATTTTAAGATTTCAAACATATATATTCATATATGAATCACTTTGGTTGGAGAAAACTACTAACACATAAAAAGTTAAACTTTATTCTCAGCAATGAGGTGTAATGACATTTACAACAAACCAAAAATTAATGATGACCAATAATCTTCAGAGCAACTTCTGAATAAAGAGTGATTTTTATATACTGAAATATTGGAAACAGAAGATCACACTTAGAAATAAAACACTGCAAATTTCATTGGGGGGGAAAACAAGAAGAAGAAAAGAAAGCCAGCTAACGATAGCTACAATGAGAGAGCACCAATTACAGCTGCGACGGCGAAGGCTGATGATAGATCATCGGATTTTGGACTTCTGGGCTCAGCCATTTCATCGGAAGGGCTTTGGGTTTTGATTTGGTTGTGAAAATAAACAGCACAAGTAAATAAAACGCCGGCCAAAGGAGTATTATTATAATAATAATAATAATAATCCTTTTGGCTGCGTTTCTCCGGTAATATAAGTAATCCTCCCTTTCTCAATTTTACATTCCGTACGTATTCCTCCATAGTCTTCCCTCTCACCAATTGCATCCTTCTCACTGTGAGAGAGCTGAAAAAATGCCAACTTAAACTGGAAAAGGAAGCCTCATAGGGAGTTTTTACTTGTTCTTCATAAGGAATTGTTCTCATTTTTAACTCATTAGTAAATTTTTGAGCAGACAAAATATGCCCCATTTGTTTCCAAATATAACCAAATTTTCTTCTTGTATCATTTGAAGAGCGGTCCCTTGATGAATAGTATAGAAATTCCTTGATATACGAATCAAAGCTGTTACCAAATATGACAACATTACGTAATAGGTTTGGTTCCCAATTTGCTTTTAAGAGGTTGTTGTATAAACTCAGATCGCAGTGTGGCATGAAGAACATAGTTGGTTTCATGGCTTGCCTCCTTCCATCTTCGTTGCAGTAAAAGACAGAACAACCAAGAAATTCCAAAACTTTGATTTCAGTACTTGAAAGGATAGGATCAAATACTTCTACCTCCCCAATCCAAATGAAATCTCTTTTCATCAGTATTGCAAGACTAAGCTGTAATATAGAAGTCATGTATTCTGAAATACTGCCAATACCATAAATTATCATTTGCATTTTTGATTCTGATGCCAAAACCTTTTGTATATGTTTAGAAATTGGTGAACTTTGTACCTCCTTCCGAAAGTCATGATAAAATTGCGAGGTCTCAAGTTCATTTATATTTTCTTCCATTATGCGCCTCAATGCTTGTACTCTATCATCATCAATTCGTTCATCTGTTGGATGCCATTTTGTGCCGGTTATCGTTGATGTTGTCATTTATCCTTGATTTGATTTGTTTGAGTTGTTCCTAGCTAAAAGAATAAACAAAAGTGATGAAACATATTTATATGCTATTACCTACAGTCTTTAATATAAAAGCTAGTTGACTAATTTGAATATGTTAATAAAACTAATTAAGTTAGTTATTTGTAATAAATATGTGTTATTTTTTCTAAAATATCTTTGCTAATCAAGCGTATTGGCCTAGAACTATTATTATTATAAAGACTACTTTAAAAAAAAAAGAATAAATATGAGAGATAAATTATATTGAAATCTTATATTTATGATTAAAATAAAAGTCAAACAAGTTCTTATATTTAGGAATGGAGGTAATATATCATAAGAAACAAGCAATTACAAATTACTTATCTTAATAATATTCATTAACATCTCATTTCAAAATAACAGAAAAATATATTTGTGAAGCGAAATATCGAATATAGTAAACATTCATCCATGGTCTTTAATTTTACAGGCTGTGTGCAGTTATGACAATTGTTGTGATAAAAGAAATCCAAGTGTACGTAGTCTTAGTTTTGGGAAAAAAATTAATGTTTTTAGAAAATTTTAATAAAAGCAACATATATGTGCGTATGAATAAGTAAATAATTACCTTGACTTTTATTTGGAAAGTTTAGTCAAGTTGAAACACAGCAAATCCAAGCTTCTTCAGATGAGAATATCAAGTATGAGACAATCTGAAACAGTATTCAGGTTAAAATCAGGAGACAATGTTTTGAGTAACTTATTAATTTATATACGTGAGTTGAATTTAAATCCATTTAAGTCTTTATCATATATTTAGGATATCAAATAATAGATTAAATTCTAATTTAATTCACAAATATGATTTAAATTTAAACTTATTGAATTAAATCTTATAATTTTGAGATTATTCAAATAATATAAATTAAATCTCTTATTTGACTTATATTATGTTTAATTAGATAAATAAATTTGTTAAATATCTTGGCCTATCAAGGGCCAATCCAAAATCTAACAAACAATTTACAAGAAATTAAATTATGGTTGAAGATAATGAAGAATTCCAACATATATGATTGGTTATATCCTAAACACACACACATAACCAACATAGATAGTAATTGTTGTTGAATTTGATTTTTTTTGGTTTTGTTTTATGGCACTTGATGTTGGAAACCTATGAGGGGAACGTGTTCTTAACTGCTGGAAACTATGATATGTGAAGCAGACCTTTAGATGAACCATGATTATTTATCTCATGGCTAACACACATTTGTTATGAAATTAATTAATTTAATTAATTTTTTTAATATTTAGAAATTAGTTGTCTACCTATTACATTTAAAAATCAGAAGAGGTAGTTAAGGTAGTGAACTACACCACATATATTCATCCATTTAGGTGTGTGTATGATCACTTTTACAGGTGGTCTGCAGCTCAATCGGGGTTCTTTGCTTCTTCATCACAACGAAGTAGAGTAAAAGCACGACTGTAAAATGAAATGCCAAAAATATTTCTATGGATACCCAAAAAAAGAGAGAATAAATTACCTTTTTTTTCCTGTTTGGAAATTTCACCGCTGGTGGAAATATGGCATGAGATAAGATCAAATATGAAACGACCTGTTAAAAATAGGAGACAATATATATATATATATATATATATCTATCAGAAACATGCATAAATTGATGGCATGCACATATTAATATTGTAATGGCATTGTTTAGAAGCAAACGAAAAATAACTTCGAAAATATGCGAAGTAACCTTCTGTATAAATTGAAGAAGAAGAAGAAGCAAGCCTGAGCAGTAGGTGTAAAACAGGCTTTTAAATACCTAGAAGTTTAAGTAATAGTAGTAATTGGATTGGTGATCAACATCACAGATGAAATTAAAAATTTATCATTGTTTAAATATGACTTTATATTATAAAATAACAAAAATCGTATCGTATATGTAAGAAGTAGAGAAGGAACTCTATAAGATAAAAATATAGTTAAGATATGGATATAAAAAAATCAAGCGTGGATATAAAGATGGTTCTCACATGATATGTGAAATAGTAAACATGGAAAAAAAATTAAAATTGATTTTCACATGAAAATAATAAAAAAATATTAATGTGAAAAGTAGTTAACAAATTTTTAGAACATAAATAGCAGATAAGATTTTTTTTGGATAAAAATAGATAAGATATTTTATAGAGTATAAAAAATAAATTGAATAATACTCATTAGATATCACAAATAATTTATGATATATTGTCAAAATTTTTATGTATAAGAAAAATTAAAAAAATCTCCTCCGATACAAATATTAAATATTTTTTAATTAATTATCAAATAATTAAATTCGTTTAATCATCAAATATATCTTAAAGTATTTATTTAAAATATCAAATATTAAATAGTTTTCATTAATTATTAATTTAAAACTTCCATCAAGTTCTTATCCGTCAATTATTTATCATGTTTTCCAAAATTAAGAGTATTGCTATCACGCTTATTGGTCACTCATGTAGATGAACTTCCTCTCAGGAAGCCCTCTGCTCAAACGGTATAAAGCCTCTTTCATACCTCATATTTTCATTAGCTCTTGTCGCGTGATGCTCCTCTAACGCCTTCTCTTTTCTCGAAAAAACTATCTCCAGTCCTTAATATTAATATAAGAGTTAGATAATTAATTTAGAAAGATTCAAAAAATTAGTTAAGTTAGTTATTTGTAACAAATATATGTTGACTTATCTAAATTATCCTTATTCAATCATGGGGGAAAATACCTTATAATCAATAGAGATATTTTTTTAGAACATATTATAAATTTGAGAGATAAAATAAAGTATAATATCTTATATTTAAAACTCCGAACTAGTTTTTATATTTAGGGCAGGATGTAGCAATAAAAATAAAGTTATGGAGAGGTGCCTGTTTGTACATGATTTCATTGAGTAATTCCGTGCCACATCATCATCATACTTCAACAAATTAAAAATAAGTTAGAGCTTGACCGGATTCTTTAAAAAATGAAAATACTTATGGTAGAGCTTTGTTGCTTTTTCTAGCCTACCCAACTCAATTTGAATAATTAGTTTGGATTTTGATAAATCCTCTAGTTAAAATTAAAATGGGATAGATTTCTCACGTGGCAAGATACAAATTGAATTGAAAGTTCCTACACAGTCCAAATAGAACGGACTATTGGTAATTTGGTACAGCTAGGTCTCGCAGTAAGAACAGCGTCTTGAATGGAATTACTTTTTACTTTTGTTGGAGGATATAAAACAAGGAAAAAGAAAAAGAAACTACTTCTGTCAGCACGACGAAAAATCTTGAAAAATAGTTCAAAGCTGCTGTAGCATATCGTGAGCTTTTGCTGAATGCTCAATATTAAGCGGCGCTGAGAGACGCTGAGGGGATCTGCTTCCCCCATAGATGCATTCAATCCACAGTGCTTCTTGCTATGCTAACCTCAACCACTCTCTATCCCAGTTCAATCCAGTTTCCAACTGTTTGGTTGGATCCAATGTGCTACTGGCCTCCTGCGCACCACCGGCTGTTCCTAGCTTCAGATTGCGTGCTATTCATTCTGAATTCTTGCCCAGAATTAGTTATTTTCCGAACCCAAGTTTTGTTTTCGCACGCAGGAAACCCTGGCGCTGTGTAGTAGCCAGGGCCACCGGAACTGACTACTATTCGACTTTGAAAGTTAGTAAAAATGCTTCTTTGCAAGAGATTAAGAGCTCTTACAGAAAACTAGCCCGTAAGGTTGGTTGCTTTCTGCTTGCTCCTAAATATCTGATGCATCCTAAGTTTTATAGCTATGTTCCTTTTTGGTTTCTTGGAAAATGATGTTTGGTATTTTTGGTCTTTTCGCCCCACTTCTCTCCGGTAAGCTTTTATTACTTTGCTACTGAACTTTGGGGAGTAACAGTCGATCACAATATATATAACAAATCATTTGCATTGAGGCTTGCTTTGGTTTATTGGGTTGAAGATTCTTTAGCTTCTTTCCATTTGTTATGTGCGATGTCTTTTTCCTTTTTCCCAGCCGTGTAAGGTCAGTTTTCTGTAGATATGACCTAGCATTTCTGGAGTCTTTTCATAACCAACCAATGTTGTCATAAACAACCATCTTTTGTCCCAATTATTACCCCAACTTGTCTCAAACCTTTCTCATCAGGATATCTTGAGTACCAAATGGCACATTCAAACCGGATCCACGAAAATCCCCAGCTGGTCAAAAAAAAAAAAAAATCCTTTAGTTTAATTATTTGTTGCACTAGTGATCTCTTTTCCTTTATATGCTTTCATCTTCATCAGTCTGTTTCAAATAATTGCATAGTTCATGATTGGTCCTCCTTATATTATATCCACGAGTTTCTGTGTCATTATAAACATTGTTATGGTGATTTGGAGTTTTAATTTTTTAAGATTTTAAGTGAATTATAAACATGAATAGAAAAAGTAATGCATTAATGCCTGCTCTAAGTTCTGGTTATATGCCACTGAAAAACTTTTTTTTTTTTTTTAATTAGTATCATCCAGATATGAACAAGAGCCCGGGGGCAGAAGAGAAATTCAAGGAGATAAGTGCTGCATATGAGGTAATTCTTCTGCCCTTAGGAGTGCAACCTTTTCTATTGTCAGTAGCATGTGCTCCTGTGGAATGCAATATGGACTTAAGGCGTTTTCTTGTTACATTCATGGTTCCAATTCATCTTTTTATCTTTTATAGTTTTACTCTCTCTCTCTCTCTCTCTCTCTCTCGGCCTGACTATAGTTTTATTTGCTTACCCACTATTCCTGTGCTCATAATCAGGGCTTTGGCATTGTCATGCTGTACATGCAGGCGTGATGTTGGTTATTGAATTTGTGGGATCCATGTTTGATTGTATTCTTCACGGGTTATAGCTGCTTGCAGTATATTTGCATCTCTTGATTTTCCTTCCTGTGGTAACAAAGCATGTATATAGGTTCTATCAGATGATGAGAAAAGATCTTTATATGATCGCTTTGGTGAGGCAGGTCTACAAGGAGAAAATGGAGGGTCAGCTGGTACTTCAGGGGTATGTTTACAGTCAAGTCTTTTGCTTTCTGCATTGTCCATAAGCAAGCCAACACTCTTTCATTGATGATACAGCCCTGTTACGAACATATCTTGCCTTTCTCTCTTCCTAGTCTTAGAGAAGTTTGGCTCAGGTCAAGTACCACCTATTTGTTATTTACTTCTGATCTTTTATGAATTACTCAGGTTGATCCTTTTGATGTATTTGATGCATTCTTTGGTGGTTCGGACGGTCTATTTGGAGGTGGTGATGAACTAGGAGGAATGAACTTCAATTTGAGAAACAACAGAAAAAGGGGTCTTGATATTCGGTAACTATCTTCTTAAATTGGTTTTGGCTTGTGTTCCTTGTAAGGGAAGTTGAGAGTATGTTACTCATTCACTTGTTGTGACCATCTGTGTTCCACATGCATGAATAATAGCATTGATGCGAAGGTTCTATTCTTATGTTAAGATTAAATCCATTTTGTTTAGAGGTTTAACATGAATTTATTTAATCTCTCGGAAATAGCTAGAGACCGCCTTGATCTTTACTGAGAGGGAAGTTATGAATAAAAAAATATGTCCGCTGTCTGTCTGGTGTGTCATGACTTGCTCCCAAATTCATCTGTCTGGTACATGAATGCTTAACATTAATGTGGTATCCAATAAGTTGCCATTATGACTGAGAAACATGATTATAGCAAGAATTGCCCATGACAATTATAGAGGATATTGTTTAACCTATTTCAGATATTTGCTGGTAAGATGCTGGCAAATTTGCCCACAGTATACAGTATTAATTTTGTCATATTTTTCCATTCAGGTATGACCTTCACTTGAGCTTTGAGGAATCTATTTTTGGAGGAAGGAGAGAAATCGAAGTTCCTTGTTTTCAGACATGTAATGATTGTGATGGTACAGGAGCTAAATCAAAGGATTGCATTAAGCCATGCATAAATTGTGGTGGCAGAGGAGGAGAGATGAAAAGTCAAAGAACCCCCTTTGGAGTAATTTCTCAGGTAATATAGATGAGTGACACGACACTGAGCAATCTCTGCATTTACAAATTCCATTCATTTGGTTAATTGCATTTCTGTAGCCAAACTAATTGACATTTATTTTTCCTAAATTCAAATTCATGAAAGATTAGTGGAGCTTCCCAGCCACATCATTTCTCCTAAGTGTTATTTTCCCTTTCTAATAAAAAGATTGTTTCTTTCCATCATAATTTGCATCTCTTGGCATTTAGAGTGTTGTAGAGAGAAGATAGAAACTGACTTGTTAATATTAATCTTCTGATCTGTATTGGATTTTCCTATTCACTTCATCTTGATGTAGATAATTGTCTCATGCAGAGTTCAAAGATGTAAATTTATCTCTTTCCAGATGGAAATATCTCCAATTGTCAAATCATCTATTCAGACTTATGCTTAATCTGTTTCCTAGGGTAGTTGTAAGATGTCCGTAACAGCTTATAATTGCCACTACTTACCACATCTGATTACTCTAATGTCTATAATAAAATTGGCATCACTGTTGCTAAGCCCAGGCATTACAATTTCCTATGCTTTTGGTGCTTAATTTTTTTATTTTTTGATTTGTGTATCATCACAATGGAGAATTGATGATATCAATTGATTCTTAGGTTTCAACCTGCTCTAAGTGCCGTGGTCTTGGCAGGATAGTCACTGATAACTGTCAAAGGTGTAGTGGCAGTGGCATGGTGCAGTCTAAACAAACAATGGAAATGGTCATTCCTCCTGGTGTCAATGACGGAGCCACAATGCAAATTCGAGGCGAAGGGAATTTTGATAAGAATAGGTTAGCTGTTATCATAATCATAGAAGACTTCTTGTGGATGATAACATGCCACAGCCCCGCCCTGTCAAAAAAGAAAAGAAAAAAGAAAAATGGAAAACAAATAACCAAAAATGGACATTCTACTTGATGCTGTGCTTGGTTCTCCAGAAACTGAGATGCAGAAGTGTTTGAATAAACAAGAAAAATTCGTGATGCTTGATCTTCAGCATGCCCAGTATTATGATTTCAGAGGTGATATAAGTGATGGTGCAGTTTGATAGTAGAGGGAATTTAGTTGTAGTTAGTAATTAGTAATATGGTGTGGGAAACAAAGACCTTTATTGTTTTTAACCATAGGCTTTATACTCCAATATGCAATTAACCTTTGAAATGTTAATTAATTTTCTCTTTATGCCTGCATGCTAATTTAGGAGATCTAAGTTACAGTTAGCTTCTCCTTGTAGCTATTATATATATAAATATAAATATATATTGAGGAGATAGGGGAGATCGTGCAAAGTTTGCTAATGGGAAACTGATATAGCTGCTATAGCTGCTGGTTTTAAGAAGACATATAAGAGGGGAGTTGGTAGGAGGTTTGGTGAACAACTGAGGGTAGAAGATGGGGAATATGCTGAAGCTCCAGAAAAGGGGGAACAACTCTGATGTGCAGCTAGCTATTAATCTTTTGGGTCTAAATCCTTGTATAGGGGTAGGACTATTTTTTGGGTTTAATACGTGTTGTGGGGGTGGCTTTGGACAAGGATTAATTCTGGAAAAACTAGTTGTGAGGAGAGACCTGGCCTCTCGAATGCCATGGGGAGCCGCTGGGTTGAGCTGTAATCCTAGCATTACTAGTGTTCTTTTGTATTGGTGATTATTGTGTATTATTCCGTACATTAGGAAATAGGGCTTTGGCTTGAATCAGGGAAGCTGAATGTATCTTTGATTCAATCCTGAATTATTAATATCAAAGCCTCAGTATTTTCCTCTTCCAGTATTGTTCTGTTTTATTATTATTGTTGGCTTGGACACTGGATGGTTGAAAGTTGAAACAGGGCCACAACAATTGGTATCAGAGCAGACGATCCCCGGCACACTATCAACCAACGCAGTAATGGCAGACGAAGTACGATATGCTAGTCCTGAAGTGCAGGAGCTAAGAGAAACAGTAGGAGGGTTGTCCAGGGATGTGAGAACATTAAAGGAGGCCGTTGACCAGATTCAAGAAACGGTTGTGCAGTTATTGGGGCAAAGGCAAAGAACAGAACCCAATACTGGTGAAAGGAGCAGACCGGATGAGGGGGAAAGCCAGGAGAGTCACGGGGGTGCTGCCAAAGAATTGGGGAAGTATAGGAAATTAGAGTTACCTATTTTCACAGGAGAGGATCCGTTGGGGTGGTTCTTCCGAGTAGAGCGATATTTTAGGGTCAACCATATAGGGGAGGAAGAGAAAATGGAAGCTGCCATGGTTTGTCTCGAAGGAAAGGCTCTGAATTGGTACCAGTGGGTGGAATCCCGAACGACTATTCGTGGCTGGCAGGAATTTAAAAGCGAAGTCTTACGGAGGTTTCATCCCTCGCAGCTAGGAGATGAATACGAAATGCTGTACTCAGCAAGGCAACACCGCTCGGTTCTGGAGTTTGTGGAGGAATTCGAGCGCCTTGCAGCACCTCTGAAGGACGTGTCCGAAGAGAGTTTGGTTGGAGCTTTTCGAGTGGCACTGAAACCTGAGATACGGGCGGAACTCCGTCTTACCGGCGCCTCCTCGCTGCGTGAAGTTATGGAGATGGCAATCAGAGTGGAGGAGAGGAACATGGTAGTCGAATCCAGGAGGGACGACCGGGCAACCCGATTTCAGAGGTACCCTAATGGGCCTAAATCAGATCCAGCCCGACACCAATACAGCAGGGTCACTCACTTACCCGAAACGCAGAAGATGGTGTCGTTTTCTTCTGCAACCCCGGACGCTGCGAAGAGATCAGAGTGGAAGGGGACTGAGTCAAAAGGCAGTAGTTCTTCCGCAGCAACGAGTTCGACGGCGAAAACAGGGATGTTTGGTCGACGATTGTCCGACGCTGAGCTGGTCCGACGGAGGGAGCAAGGACTCTGTTTTAAATGTGCTGAGAAGTTTGGGCCGAATCATGTCTGCAAAAACAAAAATTTACAAGTGTTGATTCTGGACTGGGACGCCGAGAAGGATCACCCCTGGAAGGAAGGAATTGAGGTCGACGAAGAAGAAGAAGCGGGAGATGATGGAGAAGCCATGAAAATGGAGCTATCCCTCAATTCAATTTCCGGTTTCGGCGATAATCACACAATGAAGGTGCGGGGACGATTGGCCGAGGAGGAGGTTATTATCTTAATTGACAGTGGTGCTTCCCACAACTTCATTTCTGAGGAGTTAGTGACCAAAACGGGAATCAAAGTTGATGAGATTGCAGAATATACAGTAGCCGTGGGGGATGGCCACCGACTACGAAGGCGACAACGGTGCCCGCATGTCGCACTCAAGGTGCAGGAACTTGAGATTGATCAAACGTTCTACCCGTTTCCGTTGAGAGGAGTGGATATGGTATTAGGAATTGAGTGGTTGAAGTCACTGGGAGACGTAAATGTGAATTGGAGCCGGTTGTCTATGAAAATTGGGGAACCGGGGAGTTACATCTGCTTGAAGGGAGACCCTACCCTGTCAACGAGACAAGCCACATTTAAGACCTTGGTTCGGTTTGTGAGAAAAAAAGGGGAAGCGTACTTGGTAGAGTATAACGGGTTGGCTAATGTTGAATCGAAAGTGGCAGAATTACCCCCTGAAATTCAGGAACTGATGAGCAGGTTTCCCACTGTCTATGGGGAAATAGAAGGGCTGCCGCCTCCTCGAACCCGAGATCATGCCATTGTAATTAGACCAGGAGAGCAACCTCCCAATATCCGGCCCTACAGGTACCCGCACCTACAAAAAAATGAGATAGAAAAACTGGTGGAAGATATGTTAAAGGCTGGAATTATACAGCCTAGCAACAGCCCCTACTCCAGCCCAGTCCTACTTGTGAAGAAAAAAGATGGGAGTTGGAGGTTTTGTGTAGACTATCGAGCACTCAACAAAATTACAGTCCCAGACCGATTTCCCATCCCAGCTATCGATGAATTATTGGATGAACTGAAGGGGGCCGAGGTATTCACAAAGCTGGACCTCAAATCTGGCTACCACCAGATTCGAATCAAGGCCGGGGATGAGCACAAGACTGCTTTCAGAACACATGAAGGCCACTATGAATTCAAGGTGATGCCCTTCGGATTGACCAATGCTCCTTCCACATTTCAGTCCTTGATGAATGAAATATTCAGGGAGTATTTACGTAAGTTTGTGTTAGTATTCTTTGATGATATTCTTATATACAGCACCGATTTTCACTCTCATTTGAAGCAATTAGAAATTGTACTGACCTGTTTGAAGGAGAACCGATTGGTTATCAATCTGAAAAAGTGCAGCTTTATGCAACCCAAAATTGAGTATCTTGGCCACATTATTTCCAAAGAAGGGGTCCAAGCAGATCCGACAAAAATCGAGAGCATGGTGAGATGGCCCAAGCCTAAGAGTGTGAAGTCCTTGAGAGGCTTCCTAGGGCTCACGGGATATTACCGACGATTTGTTAAAAACTATGGGAAGATAGCTAGCCCTCTTACTGATTTACTCAAGAAGGATGCATTTAAGTGGACAGCAGGAGCAGAACAGGCATTTGAGAAGCTCAAGACAGCAATGACTTCACTTCCAGTCTTAGCTATGCCGGACTTTTCATTACCTTTTGAACTGGAAACCGATGCTTCAGGGACTGGGGTCGGAGCGGTATTAGTGCAAAAGGGGAGACCAGTAGCGTACTATAGTCAAAAATTATCCCACCGCTCCCAGCAATGCTCAGTCTATGAGAGAGAACTCATGGCAATTGTCATGGCTGTCAAAAAATGGCGCCACTACCTTTGGGGACAGAAATTTGTGATCAAAACTGACCAGAAAGCCTTAAAATACTTGCTGGAGCAGAGGGTCGTTGAAGAGAACCAGCAGAAATGGGTTTCAAAGTTGATGGGATTTAAGTTTGAAATAGTCTACAAACCGGGCAAGGAGAATCGAGCTGCTGATGCTTTATCTAGACAAGAGGAGGCTGTTGAGATGATGGGTTTTTCCCTATGGCAGTATGATGAGATTGAAGAATGGGAAAAAGAAGTGCAGACCGATACAAAGTTGGCAGCCATCACACAGCAATTAATTACTAAACAGGACAGCGTGGAGGGGTACACCATCAAACGGGGCTGTTTGCACTATAAAGGAAGGCTGGTGCTACCGAGGAACTCCACTAGAATACCCTTACTGCTCAAGGAATACCACGATTCCCCAATGGGGGGTCACTCCGGCTACCTCCGTACTTACAAGAGGCTATCCAATGTGGTATATTGGGAGGGAATGAAGAAGGACATACAAACCTATGTAAGCAAATGTGCTGTGTGCCAGAAAAACAAATATCAAGCTCTCTCTCCGGGTGGGTTGTTGCAGCCTTTACCCATTCCCCAAGGTATTTGGGAGGATATTAGCATGGACTTCATTACTGGGCTTCCAAAATCTAAGAGGCATGATGTTATTCTGGTTGTGGTGGACCGATTATCTAAATATGCCCATTTCTTACCCCTATCTCACCCTTTTACAGCAAAGGATGTTGCTGAAAAATTTATCACTGAAATTGTCAAGTTGCATGGTTTTCCTAAGACAATTGTGTCAGATAGAGATAGAGTTTTTGTGAGCCAATTCTGGAAAGAGCTGTTCAAGCAAGCGGGAACCCGGTTATGTCTTAGCTCGGCCTACCATCCGGAGACCGACGGGCAAACTGAGGTGCTGAACCGAGGATTGGAGACCTATTTGCGCTGTTTTACTAGTGAGAAACCTACTCATTGGGTTCAATGGTTACCATGGGCTGAGTACTGGTATAATACTTCCTACCATACGGCTGCAAATATGACCCCATTCAAGGCAGTCTATGGACGAGACCCCCCTGCCTTTCTCAAACTGATTGATGAGCCATCAGCTCTGGAAGCTGTTAATGAACAGATCCAAACCAGAAATCAGATCATTGCTGTTCTTAAAGATAATTTAAACAGAGCTCAAAGCAAGATGAAGGGGCAAGCAGATAAACATAGAAGGGCAGTACACTTTCAAGTTGGTGACCAGGTCTATGTCAAGCTCAGGCCTTATAGGCTTAAGTCCCTGGCTCGCAGAATGAATGAAAAATTAAGCCCTCGTTTTTATGGCCCTTTCAAAATCTTGGAAAAGATTGGGACTGTTGCTTATAAACTAGAACTCCCTCCCACAGCTAAAATCCACCCTGTTTTCCATGTTTCCAACCTTAAAAAATCGGTTCATTCAACTACTGTGACACCCACATTCCCTCCCATCCTATCCGAGGAACTGGAATTACAGGTGCAGCCTGAAGAAATTTGTAAAGTTAGAAAGCTTATGAATGGGGATTTAGAAGTGCTGGTGAAATGGCAAGATCTACCTGAATTTGAAAACTCCTGGGAGAATGCTGCAACAATTGCTACCCAATTCCCTGAATTTCCCCTTGAGGACAAGGTGAAACTTCTAGGGGCGGGAAATGATATAGCTGCTATAGCTGCTGGTTTTAAGAAGACATATAAGAGGGGAGTTGGTAGGAGGTTTGGTGAACAACTGAGGGTAGAAGATGGGGAATATGCTGAAGCTCCAGAAAAGGGGGAACAACTCTGATGTGCAGCTAGCTATTAATCTTTTGGGTCTAAATCCTTGTATAGGGGTAGGACTATTTTTTGGGTTTAATACGTGTTGTGGGGGTGGCTTTGGACAAGGATTAATTCTGGAAAAACTAGTTGTGAGGAGAGACCTGGCCTCTCGAATGCCATGGGGAGCCGCTGGGTTGAGCTGTAATCCTAGCATTACTAGTGTTCTTTTGTATTGGTGATTATTGTGTATTATTCCGTACATTAGGAAATAGGGCTTTGGCTTGAATCAGGGAAGCTGAATGTATCTTTGATTCAATCCTGAATTATTAATATCAAAGCCTCAGTATTTTCCTCTTCCAGTATTGTTCTGTTTTATTATTATTGTTGGCTTGGACACTGGATGGTTGAAAGTTGAAACAGGGCCACAACAGAAACTGTGAGACATCCAGTTTAAAAACAAAGCACTATTGAGGTCTCTGTCAAATCTTATGTCTGCTGAAAACCGTTGTGATTGAGTCACTTTTGGACTCTTCATCAACAACAGGTATCAAGAGTTTTGGTATCTTAATCTAGAAAGTATGACATTGACTTGAGCCCTAGCCTGACCTATTCCCAGCCCCCCCCCCCTTTCAGTATCAGTTGTGCCTCTTAAACTAACAATTTTTGCCATTGAGACCATTATGAACTATTACTGATGGATAACCGTGAATTTATTTCAATGTTTGATGATGAAAGTAAAAGTATCATTATCGTGAGACCTATGTATAGTTGTCCTGAACTAAAAATTGCTCTCATTTGCTATCGCAAGAAAAATTATGGTTAGAATTACTAAGAGTTCAACCCATCAAGTTATGATAAAGAAAACTGTGCATTCTTTTCAGGGGTACAGCTGGTGACCTTTACATAGTCATCCATGTAGATGAAAAAGATGGAGTTTGGAGGGAAGGTCTTCACTTGTACTCAAAGATTAATATTGACTTCACAGAGGCAATTCTAGGGTCTGTTAAAAAGGTAATTTCAGTCCTGATGCAATTGGGGAGATGCAACCGCCTGTCATTTTTAATGCACATTGTTGACCTTATTGGGTGTACGTCCTTTGCTAACAATTGGACATCTTACACTTAATGTTTTCTATGATATACCTGCATGTGGTTATTTACACTAGTTGTCGGGCTTCCCTAGGTTCTCCTAGCAATTGTGGAGTCTTACAAGTTAAGAACAATCTATATAATCCATGTAGTTGCCTACAAATATATTGATAATCATGCTTCCTTATATTACTATGGTGGTTTCTATTAGTGTTGGCTCTATATTTTGAGATGTCTTTAGTTTGTGTTTATTTTACGTGTCATATATGGAAGCAAGCTGACAAATTTAATCATTATGTACATTTCTTCGGTCACAATTTAGTGCTTGAATCACTAGTAACATTATTCAATAGCCTGTGGCTCCGGTTTGAATTGGAAGATTGGACTTGGGTCATTTCAGGTAGAAACTGTTGAGGGTTTAAGGGATCTCCGAGTACCTTCTGGCATTCAACCAGGAGATTCCGTCAAGTTATCACGTATGGGAGTTCCTGACATGAACAAACCATCTGTTCGGGGCGATCATTACTTCATTGTGAATGTCCTCATCCCTAAAAGTATCAGGTTTGTGCACTTTGAACTTTTCTGCTTATTTCTTATAGTCTCAGTAGAAGCCTGAAATCTATGCATGGCTTGAATTGCAACTAAATTTGAATTAAATTAAATTAAATTAAGCATATATTCGCATAATCATATTCAGTTTATGGATATGATTGTCCTTGAATTTAATTATCCTTGAATTTGCACTTGACATAGTGTTGCTGAACGTGTACTTGTTGAGGAATTGGCTTCACTCAGATCATCTGGCGAAGATACCCCAATTTCTTCTAATAACATTGGTAATAGTCCACTTTTCTTTAAAACATGTGGACTGTGGACTAAATATTTTGGGTAAAAGCTTTGTATATCATGCTTGAACTATTGGAAGGAAGCATTCATATTGTTGGCCCTGTGATTTTCAGGGACACCTAATGGGGGAGTAAATGATTTCAAAAAGAGGCACCCAAAACGCCATTCAAGCATGGGAAGCAAGCAAGGTTCTCTATGGAGATCAATCAGGAATTTCTTAAGGTACACCTCCACACTAGTTTTATATGCGCCAAGCTCATATCTAATGTTCCCTTTGACAATAGAAAAGGAAATTCTGTAATATGGAGGGATTTAAGTCTCATTCTTCCCTATTGGATAGCTAAAGCTATCTTTTTAGCTTAAATGTTTCCTAACATTTGTATGTCTAAATTGTAAACCAATATCTCGCTCCCAGACCCAGTTTTATGGGCCTTGGTACTGGGACGGCCATCAAGAAATAGAGTTTAGAAATATCTAGCGGGCTAATATTGTGAGGTTATTAGAGGCACACATTATTATATTACTATATTATATCCGCCCAAAATCAAAGTACGGAATTCTTTCTGTCAAAAACTCCTGCTAAAGTTGTGATTGTTCAAGTGTGATGTATGCATTTCAATTGAGGTCCATTATGTGAATACTCATTGTTTGTAGCAGAGAAAAATCACAACTTGGTCACTATATGTGTTTAAATGGGAAACTCAGGTGACGAGGACCATACTGGACATCACACTTGAATTGCAGGAACAAGTGAGGAGGGCCTTCAGCAAGGGTATCATAACAAAGAGGAGATATTATACCCTGCCAAAGAATCAATTAAAAAAGTTTTGAATCAGAACTGCATGAACAAGCATTTTTATTTATAAATTACGAGTATTAACTGTATTATAAACTGGAAAGTTGAATTGCAGGTTAAGTCTTTGTCCTAGATTTCACATGATTGATGCCCTTGAGGCTAGCTAAAAATTTCTTTGTCGTCCAAATAGGAGTCTCTTAGTTTAGAATTCTCCTATATAAGACATTTGACATATTTCTTGATTTACAGGGGAGGGCAATCTCAAGAGAAGTTTGCATCTATTAGCTTGGATTCCTCAGCAGCGTCGTGGAGATTTGACAAGTCGAACTCATCTAACCCTAATTATTTTGTATTTGGTTTCGTTATGAGTTGTATTATTTTCTATATATCTAGGTCTTATTTCGCTTTGTTTAATAAACGGACCCTTCCCTCTACCCATAGAACACCTAGTGAAAGGACATTAAAAGGAAGAGATTTTTCTGTTTGAGCTAAGATGAGAATATCACCACGTTTTTTCTTACTTAAGCTAGGCACGAATGAATATGGTTGTACATTAGAGCTATCTTCTGCATCTGCATTCTTTGCTTCCACATCAGGAAATCTTGCAGCAGCCTTAGACATTGAGAGCTCACAATCTATATGATATCTGGTTCTGAAACTATATTATGTCTCCTGGCTAAATTTTCAATTGAAGTTAGTCTTACGGTTTGTGGCAGTAGGTCTACTTTTGAATTGTTGTATAGCGCATTCCAGATGGATCAATTTAATTTATGAAGTACCCGAGTTTCCTTTTTGCTTCTGGTATCTATTAAAGGGAGACTTGATGTAAGAATTAGACAGGTTTTTCGGTGCATGTTCCGGAGTCCGGACTGTAAAGAATGACTTCTACTAAACATTGATACTTTTTAAGCTTTTTGAATGGCATGACTTGGTTATGAATTTTATTGACATATTGATAAAGACAATCTTAGTAGCTTAGATAGATCTCAGTTAATGCATCATTTTAGTGAATTATGTAAGATTATTTCAAAAGCTGAGGGACATTTTGGTTATTTTACAATTTATATTCGGATGAATTACAATTAGCAATACTTAAATTTAAGGTCCCTAATATAAAATATATTTATAATTTACTACCTAGGGCAATCTTCTCACTTTTTATTGATTAAATTTCTCTGTTATTTGATGGTGCAAGAAATGCGTATATGATCATGTTCTCGAAAAGAAAGAGGAAATAATTTTGTGTGCTTGCATGAAATTTGAAGAATCAATTAAAATTCATGGCTGATGAGTATTGCAATCCCAAACATTAAACAAGCAGGAGAGAGAGAAAAATAGGAACCACCAAGTTATAACAAGAGGGGTGACGAGAAAAAACAAAGAGGGTGTGAGGGAATTTTTGCTTATTTATTAGAATTTTTATATCATACTCCTCCGGTCCTTAATATAGGACCCAATTGTTGAGTTGGTTTTGGTCCTAAATATAAGACCTATTTCTCATATTTATCAATTTTTGCTAAATTACCCCTATGGATACTTTCAACCATAATCAAATAAAAGAGGGAGATGGGATATTAAGAAAGATGATTATGGTGTTTTAGGAAAAATGTGTCACTTTTCTTATAATTAACCAATTTATCTAACTTTCTTAATTTAATCAAATTAGTTAAATGGGTCTTATATTAAGGACCGGAGGAGTATATTGATATGTATGTTGTTCCCTTGTTAAATAAGTAGTGGAATATCATGCTTATTGAGAGCGGACAGAATCATGGAAGATCCCTGGAATGTGTTATGGATTTAGATTCAATATAAAATAATCTTCCAATCATTAGTATATAACCTATTTAATTATTTTGATTAAATTAAGTAAGTTAGTTAAGCTAGGTAATAATCATAAATATGGCATATATTTCCCAAAATATTCTTAATTAAAATTTCTCTAAAAAACTGACACTTCAAAAATGTTTGAAATTATTTTATTAAAAATATAAAGTGGTAGAATTAACGTATGTGTGGAATTAATGAGTAATAAGTATTATTGTGGTATTTAATTATTTAATAGGGGTAATTTAGGAAAGAATTGGTAAATACGATAAATAAGTCTTGTATTTAAGATTAAAATCAACCTTCTAATATTAAGGACTGGAGGAGTAATTAGAGAGAAACCAGTGGCCCAATAGTACTCCTTAGGGCTATGAAGCTGGGCCAAGGCGCAAATCTGAAAAAATTGGGCCCTGTCAAAGCCGTGTGTTTGCCAAATCCAGCCTGGGGGTTAAATGAAAAAAGATAATCAGGCCTGGGGTCTTAATTTTTACCAGTGCTCAATGTAAAAGTTGCTTAGCTTATTGTCCCCGAAAAAGAAAAAGTTGCTTAGCTTAGATAGATTATAAAAAATTAAATAAATTATCTAATTTTAACAAATATGACGTGATTATCTTAAAATATCCATATGTAACATTAAATTATATAACATTTTAAATAAATAAATTTGGATAAAAATAATAAATGTAAAAGATTATAATGGATTGAGTTTATATATTTAAGATGGATCCTGAATAACTCATCCATTTTGGATTATCCATATTGCTATTACTATTATGTGATCATAACTTTTTCTATTTAAAACAAAATTATCTGTCTGGGATATTAGAAAAGGCTCCACACTACCACCATTCTTGAAGGCCTCGTCACTTTCCTATGGTGGCCGGCACGGCATGCTTCATCCATCATCTTTGTGCTGATTCCGTTCTTTGACGACGAGAGGTTGCCGTCGGTCACCATCAACCATCGGAGCTATCAACTGATAAAACTGACTTGGACGGCGAGGACGGGGTCGACAACTGAAGCTGAGTGTTTTGAAATCTTGTGTGTCGTCCTCTTTCCTTCAAGTCTTCATGTTGGCAGCCGCCATTTTTCCTCTGGCATGAAACATATCTGTACTGTGTTTTCTCTGACCTTTGAGGCATGTGTTGTTGTTGGTTTTCTGTCATGTATTGTTGGTCATTGATCGATCAATCTTGAAACAAAGTGGTGGTGGGTACACCAAGCATTGGTCCATGAAAAACTAGTCTTTGTTTTTCCTCTTTCCAAGTGGTTCAGAAGATTATAGAGCGTTCTCTATTGACAATACTCTTCAACCATGGCTTAGATGATTGTCTTGATGATGAGATGTTTCTGGATTAGCGGGCAGAGTGGTCTCTGTTTTTCCCTCCATTTTGGCAAGGGCATTTTAGTATTTTCATAATATGAATACACATATATATTGAAAATTACACCTTTTTTTTTTTTTTGTATAACTCATAGTAACTTTAAGTCATTTTAGACTTGAAACTAATCTTAATTGGGTCCAAAGCGTTAACATTAAAACCTTCCCAACAAATACATTTTTATACCAGATTTTTTTTTTAACAGAAATGAGACTGCTTACCATCTCAACCAACAACTTGTTAAGAATTATATTAGATTTCTATCAATATACCAAACATATTTTTGAAGCCCAATTACCCTTCCATGATACCAAAGAGGGCCTTGGGTTTTCTAAAAAGTAAAGGCAGTTTGATAAACGCATTCAGATAGCACTAGCTAAATCAAACAGGAATTGTCAATGAAGTTTCTCTCATTTTCAGTAATGAAACCGCTGAAATGAGACCCCTTTCAGCATTTCAATCAGAGTAGTTAAACTTTGCTCGTTTTCAGTAGTCAAATATGTTTATCTCTCTCACCAATTCCCAAACCCCAACACAAACAAAAGCCAAAATCTTTAGTTTTTCAGTCGTCTCTCACCCCCACAGACACACAAACAATCACCTCTGGCATGGTATCAAAAGTTGTGGGCACAATTTGGGTGCAAGGTTAAGTAACCAAACATGTCATCTTGTGACCCCAAAGTTGAGGCTGGAGAATCTTTGGACAACCAGGAGGGCCGTTTGAGATTATCTGCTTCTAAACACCTCCCACCTGCTCTGCATTATGCATCCATTTTCTCTCTACAATTCTTTCCTTTACAAAAATGTTCAGTCTTGCTGTACAAGTTGCCACACCTCCCATTGTCACCTCACTTTTATTACAGGATGCTTTTTGTTCTGGTTACATCTCTAGGATCTGGCAAATCTTTCTGCCATTTAAAGGCACAAAAATAGTAATAATAAATCCGAAGCTTTGTGCCAGTTGCTACTAATTAACATGTTATTGGTTCGAATTGCTCCTAAAGAAGATGCAATGTTAGATCTGACTAATCCAACAAAGGTGTCGAAGTCCTAAAGTAGTAAAGGACTTTGCTTTCATTCTTCAGTGCCATCTTCTGTTGTCTTTTTTGGGACAAAGACAAATTCCTGGGTACATATAATGTGCCAACTATATATGGCAGGATTCAGATTACTCCTTGATTATCTTTGTTACTTGATCTTTTTTTCATTAAAACCAGCAGTTCATCCGAGTGCCGGTTTAGTGCCATCTGCCATGACCATTCTGGTATATGAAGCCGAAATTTTCTCTTGGTTGCCAGAAGCATGAAATTTGGAACAGTTTTATCTGCATAATGATCTTAAAAGGCTTCATTAAGATGTTACAAGTATATGACCCAGTTCAGAAAAGCTGTTTAGAAAAAAAGTCATTAGGTTTCTTCAGTTATGTGCAACCTGGGGGAAGCTTCTTTACAATCTGGCACAGATATGTGGCTGAGCATCTATTGCCTTTTGTCTATGAATGGTCGTATTCCATAATATGGATTGGCCATTTTTCTTATGGCTAAAGGCTTAAAGCTGCATCTGAGCCCGGACCCTTGCTTTGAGCAGCCATTGTTTATTACTCCTAGACAGGGACCCTCATAGAATGTCAGTGAGCTTATCCCTCTTTTTTCTTCTTTTTAATGAAAAGGGACGGCGTGGAACTATACATCATGTTGTTGACAAAGTGGAATGACTGGCTCCAACATGGATCAAACATGGAAATACATTTTCTCAATAAATTTTTCTATATACACAATTTCTTCTATTCATTTAATTGTTGGGCTTGGTTTACTTAATGGTACAGGGTGGGTAATTGTGACACTAAAAGTAGAAGGAGAAAATTGTGTATAAGTATTTAGAGGAGTCAAAAAAATGTTATTTTAGCAAATAAAGATCTACTACTCATACTACCTCTGCTCTTAATTATAAGAGCCAGTTGACGAATTTGAAAAAATTAAAGAAGTAAGTTAAATTAGTTATTTGTCCTAAATAGATGTTGTTTTTCCTAAAATATCCTTGTTAATCAAGTGTATTGACTAGAACTATCATTGTTAGAAGGACTACTTTGAAAAAAAAACGTATAAATATAAGAGACAAAGTGGATTGAAGTCTTATAATTAGGACAAAAATAAAAGTCAAACAGGATCTTATATCAAGGACCGGAGATAGTACTTTATAAGCATGTGATTTGAAATCTTACTACCATGATGTTAATATTTTCTTAGTTGGTGGATTGTAAGTTTCTCCATAAGTACTTTCAGTTAGATTTATATGCTGATCATTTGAGTCTATGAAACGCAGATAACCATAATTTTTATAACAACGCGTCCATTATTATGAAAAAGTAGTCATAAAATGACACAATGGAAGGAATGGCTTTATCTGTCCAATTAAATTAATCTGGCATTGTATCTGAGGTCCAATAATTTTTTAAAAGCATAAAACTTAGTTCAAAAAATTTTAAAAATATTTCTGTAAAAAGCTTAATCAAAGTATCAAACAATATTGGTTTATAAAAAATATTTTTCATGCCATGTTTTTTAATAAACCAAAAGAAAAAGTCTCAAACCAAAAATTCCATCCACCTAAACCCATTTTTTTGTGCTACTTTAACTCTACGTGTCATTTTCAGCTCATGTAGATAAAAAAAGGGGGGAAATATATCAATGTGCTTGTACCTCACTAATTGACTTGAAAAGCCATGGAATACCGATTTTTTT